GGTGCTTATGGTTCACTAGCGTTCGCCTCCCAGGATACAACGACTCCCCTCCTTGTGAAAGAAGCACTACAATTCACAAGGAACTTTGAACCAAATTATGCAGGAACCTCTCTTTATGAAAACTCTAATGCTTTCTATATGTGAAAGTCTGTATGTAGATAATTAAACTGAATTTTTAAAACTGCAGGAAGATTGATCTATTTATAGATGATGAAATACCCTTTCCAAAAAGGTATCCTTATCTGAAAAGGCAAACAATGCATCTCTTGGTTTGAATAGTTGTCACCCCAAACAATGCATCCCTTGGTTAGAAGAGTTGTCACCCCCCATGTGAAGATGTCTTTAACCCAAGGGTCATGTCTTTAACCCAATAGATTTTATTAATTTCTATTCAAATAGAAAAAATCAATATTAGTTAATATTAAATTTTCCAACAACTATTGTGGAGTGAATCCGAAAACTTGACAAGTGTATCATATTGATACAAAAGAAAGGTGTGTTGGGGCACACGCATCTTGGTATGAAAATGTAATCATACCAACACCCACATGTGCTATATGTTACTAGAATCTCAATGTGAACCATTGACAATGTAAACTATGTAAGAAGTGCGGGAGACCATTATCCACATATTCAATGTCTTAGAATCTCAATGTGAACCATTGACAATGTAAACTATGTAAGAAGTGCGGGAGACCATTGACAATGTAAACTATGTAAGAAGTGCGGGAGACCATTGACAATGTAAACTATGTAAGAAGTGCGGGAGACCATTGACAATGTAAACTATGTAAGAAGTGCGGGAGACCATTATCCACATATTCAATGTCTTAGAATCTCAATGTGAACCATTGACAATGTAAACTATGTAAGAAGTGCGGGAGACCATTATCCACATATTCAATGTCTTAGAATCTCAATGTGAACCATTGACAATGTAAACTATGTGAGAAGTGCGGGAGACCATTATCCACATATTCAATGTCTTGGTAAAGAAAAGTTCCCAATCTAGATTTCGTGCAGGGTTAGTTTTCTAGTTAAAAATATTATTCTTGTGGACCTAATTTTAGATGTACTCTGTCCAAAATTTCTACTTCAAAGTAGAAACTAATGTCAAAGACTTCTGACAGAGAAATAGAGTGACATCGATGTAAGATCTCAAGAGGGAGTCCATATCTTTGGAGAAGTGTAGACATTCTATTCTAGCCTTTTGTTTTGGTCGAATACAACGTAATGATCATTTTTTTCGGTTGAATACGACCTAATAATCTTCTTTTTTTTGGTCGAATACGACCTAATGATCTCCTTTTTTGATCGAATACGACCCTTATGATCCTTTGATCATATAAACATCCTCCCCTTGGTCATCCTAGCCTATGACCTAATGATTGAAATTATTTTATTTCAAAGTCAATTTTTAGGGATTATCTTTGCAAACAATCAGCCAATCGGTAATCATTTGGCCATGGGAAGTGTGAAAATAAACACGGTATGGTCGATAAAATTGAAATGATAATGGTAATCAATGAGTAATTAATCAATTTTTTATGTATCTATTTTTTTTAACCAAAAGTGTCACTAACTAGAAGAGATTCTGATCATATTGAACAGTAAATTAGAGGACGGCGGATGTGCACTTATTGTTTTTTGACCATGACGGTGCACATTTGAACATGCCTATCCTATTGAACTGCACATAAGAAAAGTTAAGAGGGTCTGTACTTTTCATTGCTTTGAAAGAAAAAGGGTAAATCTTAGGCAAGGAATGATTTTCTTGGGGTTTTGGGGTTGTAGCTTAAGTCACTAATATATTTGAACTCCTCCTCCTCACACAAAGATGATTTCCTTTTCCTTGCAAGGGGATTTGTAGTTGAGTGGTTAATAGCATTGACTTATACACCTGGGTTTCATTTGGTTCATGAAACGGATTTGAGAGGAAATCACTTCTTATGTCATTTTTCAAGTAATGAGAAATGGAATATTCTTTTCTCATATTTGATAATGCTGGGAAAGTAACTGAGAGATGTCACTTTATTTCATTTCTCATGTTTGTTTTGAATAGGAATAGAAAACAAAGTTTGTATAATTTTTTAATTATACAAATATTAAATCAAATGAAAAAAGAATGTATTTAATGATATATTGTAATTCCAAATTCTTAATGAGGACAAAATGTTCATAAAAAATATGCATTTAATGTTGGTTCATTTTCCCAAACATTCCTATGAGAAAGGAAAACAATACCTAAGGAGGGAGGAGGGTTTCACTCTTCCCCCTACTTTTTCAGATGCAAGGCAATCATTTTTCATGCCTGAACTTACCAAACATGGTAAAACAATTTATTTTCCATCTCCAAGCCTCATTTCCCATGAACTAAACGGAGGTCTTCTCCTTCAATATCGCTTGAATACAATAAATAAATAAAAGATTTCCTTTTCCATAATTATATTAAATGGATATGTTTGACCAGAACAAAAATATTAAATGGCGTGGCCCCACCATAAAAAAGTAGAAATGAAAGCAGACGTCATTGTTTTCCAAGATTTTTAAAGAAGGATTTATGACTCCTCTCAGCAATTCATGTGAACAAAATGTTTTTCCTATCGAAAGGAAAAGGATAAATTAAATTTATGTGAACAAAATGTTGCTCACTTTTATTTTTTGTGTCTTGCATCATGTCTTGCATCATGTCTAACAAATTATCTTTTACTAATTTTCTAAAAACAAGTTACTGATAATACTTTTCCCCTCATCATGTGGTTACTCAAATATGGTATAAATAAATACGCATTATGTGATACTCAAATATGATACGGTACACACACACACCAAAAAAAAAAAAAAACTACTTTCTAACATTACTCTTTTTCTTTTCTTATATGCAAATACCAACCATAACCATTAATGAAGACTTTTAAATTGGAAATCTCACACTGACCCTGGCACCAGGAAAAAAAAGGAATAAAATTTGTATATCTAGATGGTAGAAATGAAGAAGTTCTTATCATATCCTTTTGAAAATGAAAAAGCTTGTGGTCTCATCTCATATCCTGCTGGCTAATTACTTAAATGCACTGCCCCACTGACCACCACACTAGAGGCGCTCACGGGCTAGCTTCTACTTTGGAAACTGAAAATTTGCCTATAAATTAAATAAAACCCACATAACCCAAAACCTCTCTCACTCTATCTCTATCTTTCTATCTCCTTCTGTGCCATGCAACAGTAAAATTGGTCACCGAAAATCTACAGAGTCCTTCAATCCAATCTAATCCCATTCCGTTAATCCAATGGGCACTAGTACCACCATTTCAGTCCTGTTTTTGATGCTCATAGCCCTCCACAGTCCAATCCATGCCAATCCCATCAAAACCATTGTTGTAATTGTGATGGAGAACAGGTCATTTGACCACATGCTGGGTTGGATGAAGAGAATCAATCCAGAAATCAACGGTGTGGATGGCTCTGAGGCCAACCCTTTGTCCACAACTGATCCAAACTCCAAGCGCTTCTTCTTCAAGAATGAGTCTCACTATGTGGACCCTGATCCTGGCCACTCATTTCAGGCCATCAGAGAGCAAATCTTCGGCTCAGATAACACCTCAGCTGACCCGCCTCCCATGAATGGCTTTGCCCAGCAGGCTTTCTCCATGGACAACACCACCAACATGTCTCAAGATGTTATGAATGGCTTCAACCCGGATATGGTTGCTGTCTATAAAACTCTTGTTTCTGAATTTGCAGTCTGTGACAGGTACTTATTCTTTTTGCTTTTTCATTAAACTTAATCTTAACTGATTAATTTAGCAAAGCATAAGTTTTTTTTTCTTTTTTATTTTTTTATAAATTTTAAGCGATAGATTGCATTCATAATTCAACTTAACCAAATCGGGTTAATACAAATACAAAAGCTTTGTTGTATATGAATGAATTTTTCTTAAAAATATATTAAAATTAAGAGAGAGAAAGCTTTTGGGAAATGAATGTGAGAGAGAAGGAATGCTTAGCTTCAAAGTATCATTTTGTTTGTACTCCCAAATTATTCATAGCTGTTAAAAAAACAAGAGATTCCTCTTTTGTATTTTTTTTCATTTTCTTTCTTAAAGCTTTCAAGATTAATCTGAATTTTAATCTCTTACCTCTTCCTTTGCTGCTGCCAACCTGCCATGCAATAATTGCGGTTGACACTTGTGTGGGTTGTTAGATTACGACTTCTGACACTGTCTTTTTACTCTTTTTTTACTGTTTTTCTTTTTTACCCCTACCCTTTTTTTTTACTGTCCCAAACAAAAAACATTAAGAATTTTGTGTATGTGTTAGGTGGTTTGCCTCGGTGCCATCCTCAACACAGCCGAATCGCCTCTACGTGCATTCAGGGACATCAGCTGGGGCAACAAGCAACATCCCAGCCCTTTTAGCCAAGGGCTATCCACAAAGAACCATCTTTGAAAGCGTTGACGACGCCGGAATATCCTTCGGAATATACTACCAAAACATTCCGGCCACACTCTTCTATAGGAACTTGAGGAAGCTCAAGTACATAAGCAAGTTCCACATGTATGACACCTTCAAGAGCCATGCAAAGCAAGGGAAGCTGCCAGGCTACACTGTCGTAGAACAGAGGTACTTCGACGTCAAAATTGCCCCCGCAAATGATGATCATCCCTCGCACGACGTGTTCCAAGGGCAGATGTTTGTCAAGGAGGTGTACGAGACACTGAGGGCGAGCCCTCAATGGAACGACACCTTGTTGATCATCACTTATGATGAACATGGAGGGTTCTATGATCATGTAGCTACGCCGGTACATGGAGTCCCTAGCCCCGATGGGATCGTGGGGCCGGAGCCTTTCTTGTTTCAGTTCGACCGGTTGGGAGTCAGGGTTCCGACCATCATGGTCTCACCCTGGATTGAGAAGAGTACTGGTGAGTACTAATGCTAGCTCCTTGATTTCAAACTTTCAGCTAATTACAATTATATGATTGAATCTGCTTAAATTTTCTAATGCTAATATGAATCTTAGGGTTTAAAGTTTAGGATTAAGCATTTAGAATTTGTATTAGCACAATATCACCTCATAGAATAGTTCAAAATGCAATTTGATAACCCTTTTATCCCACCTTATAAACTAGATGGTATGAAAAGTCAACAATGTCATTTTAATCTTAAGAGGGTAATTTGGTAATTACACACTTGTGCATGATGTGATTTAAGAAATGTTATCTCACTCACAAAGTTACGTGATCATGTTAAAATCTTAAGTTGTATCTTATGATGTTAGGTTTTTGTCGTGTTCTACAGTTTCATATATAATGCCTTGTTTGTACTCAAAACTATTTAGGATTCTGTTAGGTTGATAAACTTGGTTAAATGGAACGACATAAGCTGCTGATTTCACACTACATAATCTGCCACGGCCTGAATTTGTCGGCATTGCTGTCCCATAACCATATGTCGAAGGGAATCTAGATAGAAATATCTTCTGTTGATAACATTGATGGCTGGCTTGCTTCCACCTATACGCAAGCCACAAAGAATTTGCTTCCCATTTCACACAGCTTTTGGAAAAAAGAGGACCTACTTCTATGGATTCTTTCGTTAATGCTTGTCAAGCTTACCAACAAAACAATAAAGAGATTGGCTGTCTTCGTATCTTATCTCAACCAACAAGTAGTTTGGTTGATGACTTAGCCATATGATGGGAGAAAACTTACATGTATCGGGAATGCCATCGTGGCGGTATTCCAAGCCTATCATGCATGTGTCATATCGGAAAGTTAAAATACATGGCAATGTGTGATTGGCTCGGAATAACGCCACAGTGGTATCTTTGTTATAAGTAAGTTTTTCTCCATATGAGGAAATTAAAATGTTGGGTGTCATCAATGTTTGAGATTTTCTATTTTTGTTTTTCACTAAAATTCTGCATAAAGTGATGGGAGTTTGTTGAAATTGTTAATTGGGGATAAGTTATAGGCAAGCACACCACACAAAAGCTAGCAGATAAAGTCTTACTAACTGACATAAAACTCTTGAGGAAAGTCAAGTATGCCAAGTTGTAGGAAAAAGTATACCTTCAAAATGAACCAACTGATAAAATCTCTTAAACTGTTTAATACCTCAAGTGTTAGAAGCATTTTTGCAGGAACCTAATAGATTGCCTTATTTTGCTGGTTAGTGCAGAGATAAAAATAGCTAAACTTCTCTCTGTTTGCATTGTCGTCCAAATTCAGTCAATATTTTCGTAGCAACAAATGCTCATTAGCTTTGATTTCTAGCAAGAACAGAATAAGTTGAAACCTGCATGGCTAACTGTATGAACTTTCTAAAAACCTATGGTTAATGGCATATTTTCTCCATTGACGATGACAATGAATCGATTATGCAGTCCTTCATGGACCTAACGGATCACCATTTCCAACTTCGGAATTTGAACACTCATCCATTCCAGCAACAGTTAGGAAGATCTTCAACCTATCTGCACCCTTAACAAAGAGGGATGAATGGGCTGGTACCTTTGAAGGCATTGTTCAAACACGGACAGAACCCAGAACTGATTGTCCAGGTTAGTCACATTCCACTCTCTAATCAACTGGAAAATATTATATGTGTCTTATGTTTGTCTCAATTGCTTGCAATTTGAGCAGAGCAACTACCAACGCCAGTCAAGATAAGAACAAGTGAGCCTAAAGAAGATGCTAAGCTTAAAAGGAGATAACATATTTACAAGCTACCCCAAAAAGACAGGGAAGGAGATGACCGTCAAGGATGGTAAGGAATACGCAGATGACGCAGTTAAACGATTCTTCGAGGCAGGGCTTTATGCTAAGAGAATGGGAGTTAGTGAGGAACAGATTGTCCAGATGAGGCCCTCCCTTACTACAAGACCATCACCCATAGTTAACCAGACACCATAAATAGATGAAATGAAAACTGGTAGTGGATCCTCAGGTGCATATGTAAAAAGCAGTCATCTTTTTCTATATCTATACAAATCCAGGGAAAGAAATTAAATTATCTCATGAAAGTTTAGCATTTCACGATGTTTATATTCTTCAGTTTGCGGGCTTGTGTATCAAATTATTTTTCCCATCTCAACTTGGAAAAGTTTTTAAATGCGTATTTGATTAAACAAAGGCTAAAAGACAAGTTCTTAAGCCGTGTTTTCATATCAGGGCAGGAACAAATAAATAAAATTCCAGTCTTAAGTACAGTTTAATCCCCTTCTTCTCACTCTCAAGTTAGGAACAGAAGTCTGATCACATAGATTATAAGAATTTGGAGTAATCAATTTGAATACAAAACTCCTGAAGTGCTATCAGGACTTTATGCTTTTCG